TCCTCTTCCCTTCGTGACGATACCCCCGGGCCACTACTGCCGAGTGGAACATCCCATCGATATCAAGTAAGGGGGTGGGGCTTGTGCATATGTACATGTACATGTATAACTGGGATTAGGAGTAGGCCGAAAATATTTATTTCTAGTTTGGGTCATTTTGAATTTTTGAAATATTGTCAAATTAAGAACTGAACCCATGAATTAAAAAAAACTTGCAAAAATTAGCTATTTCTTTACAGTGGATGTAAAGGAAGAGAGAGAAAGTAAGAGAGAAAGAGAGAGAGAGCTAGAGGTGCTGTATGTAATGTATTAAATGTAGCTATTACATTCATGTGTACATGTACATGTACTGTGTGGTTCATTAATTCATGTTCATGTTGTATGGTTACATGTACTTTACTTTGGTTCTGTTCCCAATAGTAAACCAATAGTTGATGGGAAGTTATACGAACTGAGATTTGGACACAGAGAAATAAGACTCCATGGGGTAAGTAATTAATAATAATAATAATAATAATAATAATAATAATAATAATAATGATAATAATAATAATAATAATACTAATAATAATAATAATAATAATGATAATGATAATAGTGATATACATGTACATATGTTACTATTAATATTGGTTGTTAATTGGTTATTGGTCAGACCATAATAGCTCATTAATTTCTATAGCATCTACTTAACTTCATTGCTGTTGGTTATGAACCATAACAAGTTTATTGAAGTGTTGGTGATTATTTCTTAACCTTTTCATTTCATTATTTGGAATCATGATTACCTTCAACTGCCTCTAGATGTAATTACATATTAGTAGATAGTGTGGCTAGTGTGGCTAGTAGCATCTTCCTTATTTGGTAAAGTATGCATTCTGTTAAAATAATAATTGTTATTACATTTCTATATGGGCATGGACACCATCTTTTAGCGGGTAAACCCCTTTAATTATTAATATTACTATTGGAAATATGACTACCGTATAGCGAGTAATTTTCATGGCGCTTTATTTTTGTGGCACTTTATTTTCGTGGTTTTGGGGCTTTCCACGAAATTTAAACCCACGAAATCATTGCCCTTACAGGCTATGTAAACTGTCGACCATGAAGATTAAACCACGAATTGCTCCACTAGGAGCAAAAAGTAATAAAGATGCAAGGAATATGTAATTTGCTATAGATATTTTATTCATGCATGTACATGTATTGTAGATACAGTCCAGCCTGCCTGGAGGTGTGTGTGTGTGTGTACATAGCTTTTGATGACACACACACACACACACACACACACACACACACACACACACACACACACACACACACACACACACACACACACACACACACACACATATCAGAGGTTAGGTTAGGGATTTCCCCCTGATTCCCCTTGTATAGACACAACACATGCTTCCTATTGTTTGTAATTAGCTGCATAACATAATGTTAATGTTCTCATTATAGTCTAATAAAGTCTATTGCTTTAGTTGCTTAGTTTAACTTCTTAAATGTTAATGTTCTTTAGTCTAATGCTTGCTCCTTAAATATAAATGTTAATGTTTTTGTCATTTCCTTTAGGATCCTTTCCCATTGTTTCCTGGAGAGAGATTACCTGAGAGTGGCAGTGCAACTGGTAGGTTCTTATTTATTAATGTACATCAGGGTTTTGTAATTGAAAGTTTGACTCTGCACCAATTTGACTCAGATTTACTGACATTTTGCACCAAATGACTGTTTTTGCTCCAATATTGTAAAAATGGCAGAATTAACATTAATTTCCTGAGCATATTATCCCAAATGACATTGGTAATTGTGGCCCATAGCAACCTGAATTGAGCCAATTGAGTGTCAATTTGACTTATCAAAAACACTGGTGTACATGTACATATACATGTATGTGTACATGTTGATGTATCTCTGAATTGTAATAAAGGTGGACCTACTTCAAGCAAACATAAGGATTTAGGAGTGTCTTACAATAAACCACATCTTAAATTAGAGTACTACCATACTGTCCTGTGTGTATATGCTTGTTGCTCCTCCCATCTCTCTCTCTGCTTTATCTCCCATTGACCATTTCCTAAGTCATTATTTCATTGCATTGTATCATTGTGTGGTCATACATAAAGCAGGAATGTTGTGAGTGTGTGCCTGCTTTGTTGGCAATTGGAAATAGGTTGTGTCTCATACATGTGCATGACTATAAATTCTTTCATTAATATTAAGGCTGGGACGAAGCTTCCAAAGCTTCGAAGCTTCCAAAGCTTCGAAGCTTTGTTCAAAGTGCTGCCATTCGAAGCAGAAAAAAGGCTTCGAAGCTTCATTATTAGTAGTTATTAATAGTTAATGTGGTCAAAAGTTTACATAGGGATTGTCTACCCAGACCACAAGTTTATATAGTGAGCTGAACTATGACTTTGACAGTATAAACAGAGGCGGGTGATAATTTTTGATGTACAACGAACCTTCGAAGGCTTCGAATTTTTTTATGCAGAAGCTTCGAAGGTTGCAAAATGACCTTCGTCCCAGCCCTAATTAATATTAATGCGATTATAAACTGCAAGGAGAATGGTAGTGCAACATGTTTCCCACCTTCTGCTGCCTGCACACATGAGATGACAATAATCATTACAGCTTGAAGGACACAATACATCAAAGGAATTATGAATGAGAAAATGACATGCCTATTAGATGCCATGCACATACAAAGTTTATGTTAATATTCATGAGAAGTGATAATGATTATCCTCTTAAAAATCACAGTTCACTATGTAACTGTGTTAAGTTTTCCTAGTTTATTTACAAACTATAATTTGTAAATAAATTAGGAAAAGTATCTCCTTTCTGAAATCACTTGCTAGACATGTACATGTAATTATAGTATAGCATGCAACACAAAAGAGTGTTTACATGTATATCTAATCCTGTATCCCTCTCCTTTCTCTCTCTCTCTCTCCATTAGATTATTCTCGTGCTATCAAGCGTCTTCCAACCATAAAAGCAGATCATGGGATACACTTGAGTGCTCTGGTTGATATGGAGGAGACTGATACTGCCCCAGCTCGTAAGGCAGGGGATGAGTGGCAGCTGAGAGGACCATTGACCTACTTACCCAAACCAGAAGAGGTCAGCATCAATTGTAAATGTGTAAATAAACATGTGTAATGCTTTATTGCTTTATTGCTGCATTCCATTGTGACCCACAAACTACATATGTATATTGGATTAGTTAGCTATTCCCTGATATCAGAAACTGTTAAACAGCAGCTGTTATTTGCATGTTCAATCCTGCTGTCTCCTTTTCTCCTCTATCCTCAGCAAGTAGTAAAGATGGTGTCTCCTATTATAATAACTCCTGGTCATGCTGTTCGTCTCAGAGCTCGTCAAGCCTTCACTGACGCTAAGGGAATGTAAGACTAACCACACCCACTAGTTAATTAATAATTATTAATAGTTATCGTTGCACTGGTGAGGAGTGGTTGGTAAGGGATATTGGAGCTTATCTACCTGATGTGTATGAGGAGGTGAGGATTATTATAGTAGTATAAGATATAGCATGTAGTATGTTGATTCTCATTATAGTACAATGTGTATTTGCTATAAGTGATAATGTGTATCAAATTACAGTACATATTATACACATGTACCTGTGGGGCACTTGCAGTATACCCTTGACAAACTTACACATTACGGTATTTACTATTAAACCTCATAACAGTGAACACACCTGTGGTTTGACTATGATGTGTCAGCAGTATCATGGGATTGTTGAGACAATGAACTAACAATATTCATAGTTTAAATAACCCACACAATGTAACATAGGGTCATGACACAACTTAGCCACCATAAAAACAAGTGTAATGTGTAATTCCTGGTATAGCAAGGCTACAAAAGTAGTAGCAGCCATTTTGTTTGGGGGTGAATCCTACTATTAATGCTACTGCGTTACTAATATTACATGGTTGATTTCTCCCTCCCTCTTTAGGTAGTAGAAGAGGTTGATGCTTACACTCTAACACCAAACAATGCTTTACACATCAGAGCCAACTGTAACTTCACTGATCAGTTTGGTAGGGGGAGAAGGATTGGAGAGGAGTGGCTGGTTAAATATGATGACACTGAATCATACATACCTGATGTCACTGAGGTTAGGAAACACTTTACATGCACAATTTGTCACAAGCAACAAAAAGTATATCAAGAATGTAGCATGTTGGCAAACTTGGCACACTCTAGACTTTGTATGGCTCATTCTTACTCCTCCCTCTATATATCCTACAGGAGGTAGTGAATGAGGTCCAGTTGACTGTTTTATCCCACCATCAGTATTGTGTGGTTGTTAATCCTCTTGGTGATGATGGTAGACCACGTCTTGGCTGTAGGGAACTGAGGAAAGGACCTAAGACATTCTTCCTTCATCCTGGTAACTGATTTAATATTAAAGAAGCATTGATTTCATTATAATGATTTGCAATTGTCATTGTACGTACATGTTGTAAATGTACATGTAGTGAGGGATTTGATATGTCATGTATACACATGGCCTTTGTTTGGCAATGCACAAATGCACAATGTGACTGTGTGTACTCTTGTCCAGGTGTCATGTATGCATGTTATTCTTTCCCTTTGTTTCCTATTTGTAGGTGAGAAGTTTGAGAGAGGGATACAAGATGCTATTATATTAGAATCTGATGAAGCTCTTCTTGTCACTGCCCAAGAGGAATTTGATGATATTACTGAAGATGGTAAGTAATGGCCTATTCACTATACTGTGTTTGATCTGGCATCAGCCAAACATAGTCAAGGAGTAAGAGAGTTTATGATGACTAAATGACGTGTTTGTTTAACATTTACATGACATTGTGAAAGCACACAGAACGTGTTATGAATTTACAGTAGAATATCAGTTGTTAAGAATAAGATATTCTTAGCAACTGATATCCTACTGTAACTCATAACACAAGAATTGCTTTCAAGCTGATATTTGGTGTATGGGAGAAAATAGAAACTAATGTTGATATGTACATTGTACTATTATATGTAGGTAGTAAAGTCCATCGTACCCCTGGTGATAGGTGGATGATTCATGGACCAACTGACTATATACCTAGAACTGAGATTGGAAACATACAGAGGAGGTTAGTATTAATGTACAGTTCATAAAATCAATTTAATGTCAATTTAATATTCTGTGCATTATCTGTTTGTAAGGATTCATTGATAACAAGAGTACTCTTGTTGATAATTGTTAGCAAAGTTTTGGGGTTAGTAGGAAGGGTTATCAAGTAGGTGGAAAGACAAGATATTTTTATAGCCTGGGGAAGTCCTTATAGTGGGAGGAGGGTTAATAGTGTGAGAGGGGGCCTCTACTATAGTCAAGCTATTGTGTACATGTGCTTTATACAGTTTTTATCTCTCTACTG